TGACCGTAAAGTTGAACGAGCTATGATACACGAAACTCGAACCACGTGCACCCAAATATACAAGACCTGCAAAATAAAGTTAGTATTTCAATGCTCTAGTTAGTACATAGTCCGATCTATATTCAAGAGAGAATAAATTTCGCGTACCTTATATGATAGGTGAGGCTCTCTATTTATAGAGGCGCGAGCTCCTGATAATTTGGATTGAACTGTCTTGTCGGAGAACATGTCTATCATCTATGCTCCCTTGGTTACTCCTTAACCTCGGCTCATACTTGATATAGGTCGGCCAGTATATAGAGTGTGGCACAGGTCGCCTTCGAAGTATCGAGCTGAGGAAACTTGCCTTTGTCGAATCTCCTTTTTTGATCCTCTCGATCATCTTGGTAGTTAATGATTCTTAGTGTCAACACATGCCTATTGATAAATCACCTCCAAATATTATGAAAGAAGCTATTAGTCGAAATTTGCATATGTCTATGAGCATGATGTCAACACGTGCCTATTGATAAATCACCTCCAAACATTATGAAAGAAGCTATTAGTCGAAATTTGCATATGTCTATGGGCATGATATCGACATAAAAGATGAATTAATATTTCAATTATGTCATAACAAAATCGACGAATATATAAAATGTTATAATATTAATAATAAAAATTGTTAACTTATTTGAAAGGGTTAAATACTTATTTATTAATTTAAATATATTTTTTAATTTCTTGATTTTCTTTCTGGAAGGATGAACATTAATATTTTATCAATATTTTCATAAAATTGAGTCCTTCGCATAATTTTGTATCACATCAAAGTTTATCCATAACTACATGCATAGACATTTAAAATCTTATGGTGACCCGTATCGCGACTTTGAACTAAAAACCCGCATAATTTATGAGCACTGGAGCCCAAATAAATAACGCATGTGGGATAAGAGTGTTTCCCATCATCTCTTTCGATCTCTCATCTCTCCATTCTTTTCAAATTAATGCAACCTTTTTAAGGAAATTTGATAGTAGTGGTTAAATTTGTGCACCCTTTTTAAAAAACAAGCCAAGCCAATAGTATCATATTTTACACAAAGAGTCGAATCAATTTTTAGGAGATTTTAAAAATTGGTGACTTTCAAACTTTGCCCTTTGTCTCTTTTCATTTGAAACTACTTAACATGCTATTTGAACCAACTTAACTTTTCCCACATTTAAGGGATTTACTAGATTTGTTGCTAAAGTGGACGATCTCTCATTCTTACAAGCTGTCCTATGCAACAACAGATTGATCTATACTAATCACATTTTTATATGATGGTAATTGGGACTGTTGATGCGTGGATTTCGGTCCTCCAGTTCTCCGCCTCGCACCCACCAAACTTATTGATTCGGGACTAGTATTTGCAAAACTAAATCGAGCTAAACCGGTGTGACTCTAGTCACACGAGCTCCGATGCTTAAGTTAGCAAGAGAATAACACAAATGTAGTCCACTTTTTAGATGCCCTTACCTCTAAGGCTGGATCGCTACTTATAGCTGTCAAGTTGTTCCAGAACTTTCCGTAGCTAACCCTAGTT